CTCTGAAAAACATTAATCATAATGAACTGGTGAATGAAATTGAACTTTTCTCATGATGTTGAGTGGGAATGGGATTGATTCCTTGACACAGCAGCTTGAGCATACAACAGCAAGGCATATTGAGCAACGATTCCCTGTGGAGTTAATTCTGATGCTCCTTTTCAGGCAATTAAAGGATATTTAAATATAAAGGAAAAACAGAATCTTTTTTTGTATGCATAGATCTTTGGGAGCTTCCTTTTGTGCATCACTTGTTAGGTGGCAGTAATGTGCTCAGCACTTTACAAAGTCACAAAAATAAGTTCTCAGCCTTCTCTTGAAGGGATAGCAACTTCAAAGATTGGGTGACCTGAGGGAGAGAGGTAGCTTAGGAAGAAAAAGTTATCTCTATTTCTATGTCTTTCTTCAGCTATGGTACTCGTTACTGTTAGAAGTAAGAGGATTCTTCATAGGTACTGGAAGCTATTCTCAAATGCAGTAGCACAAGTGAAAGAAGAAAAACCTTTTGTTTTCTGGCAGATTGTACATATAAAGGCTGCAGTGTGCTAGTCAATACATCTGGGTTTAATTTTTGATATACATGAATATTAGATCAGTACAGATAATAAGATTCTGTTGCAAAATTTGAGACTTTTAAGGGTGTTTTGAGCCTTTACTTATAGTATTTAATAATGAGACAGGCTTAAAACAAACTGTACTCCCTCAGAGCTGTTTACTTCTATCTTCTGAGGTCCTAAGCAGCTGTTTTACCATTCCTCAAAGGTTGGGATACAATGTTCTGTATTTTGTCATTAGGACATGTTTGCTTTATGCATTAATTTGTAATAATGATTTTTGCTTTAGAGGTGGTGTTGTCTTAGGTGTCGTAGAAATTGAGTTACTAAAGCATCCTTGATATACAGTCTGCTTATTTTTTTTCTATATAATATATTTATATATATAATAACATCTATATACACATTTATGAAAATGTTCCTGTTCTTTGGATGATTATATCTGTAACTCTTCTCTTTGCACAGGTCTGAAAGCAGTGCCATTCTTCAGGGTCAGATGAATATCCTCTTCATTTTTCTGTCTTGTGCACACTCTTTGAGTTTGTTGTTATTGCGGCACCCTTTATTTTTCTTGTTCCATTCCTGTAGCCTTTCACACTGCTTTGTCTATGGTCTGACTCTCTTGTTGATGTAGCAAGTGTACCCTTTGTATTCAATAGGGGTGTTTAAATTTTTTTTATCCCAACACTATTTTTAGGTAGTACGGGGTGGAAAACGTGGCCACATCTTCAAGAAAAATTTGTAGGCTTCAGGTTTTATTTTCATTTTGATTGGAACAAACCAAATATACCCAAGATTTGTTTTTACACCTGAAAAATTAAAAAGATGATCAGGCTAGCCCCAGAAGATCAGATTGTTGCAGTTTTACTTAGTCAAGCCAGTCTCATCTTTTTGTAAATAAAGAAATTTTAAATGAAGAGTGTGTATGGCAGATTATTTAATAAATGAGGCTGAAATTCTTGTCCCGGTTTTGTTTTACTTGATTAAGCTATGAGGTGAGTTTTTAGGTGAATGCATTCAGCGTTGACAGAGGGTATTGGGGGCAAGTGTTAGGAGCCAGGTTTGGTTATGTTTAGCTTAGGAACAATAACGTGTTTGTGCAATCACCCAGGTTTGATGAGATCAGAGAGATTTTGTTTCTGTTTCCTCAGTACCAAGTAGGCAGATGTGAATGGGATTTTCCAAGCGGGTTCTGAGAATAACCTAAGTTTATCATGGAATGTTTCCTAAATTTTGACCAGCCACTCAGGTTTCTATTGCATCTGGCTCTCAGAAAGATGCAGCTCTTAGTAAAAGAAGGTGGCTTCAGAGCTGCTGGGCAGTGTGGTCAGTTGGAGCCACAGCAATCTTATAATGATTGTAAGGCACATACACAGTGATAGCCTAGCACCTTCTAATACAGGTGCCTCTTTGATCTGTTTTGTTATTACAAAAATAAAGTTACACTATTATGTCTATTTTGTTAAGTATTAATGTCATTTATTTTAGTGCCAGGGTTTTGCTTTGCTTTTTCAGTACGTTCTTCAACCTATAGAGAGGTGGTAATGCCTGTGTGTCTTCTGATGGTCCTGCAGATGAGATGGGAACCTCTTGTTCTACACGCTTGTTAAACAACTGTGCATGGAGATTGTAATTTTGTGATTAATCATGCTTAAACCAGACTTGTGATGCATGTTTTGTATGTGGCATGGATGTATTTGCTTTGCAAGATTATAATGGGAGATCATGCTTCAAAAACATCCTTTATTTGAGTTAAAGTATTTTTTAAACAAGATACTGAAATGCATTTGTGCCCTTTATGTGGAAATGCCCGTGCTTGTCTCTAGAGGTGGACACAAATGCAATTGGCCTTGCAAGTATGCATGCCCTTATACAGGAATATGCAAGACAAAATAGGTTTGCATTGTTTGCAGGTGCATTCTGAGACGCTGATTATAGACTTGACACTTAATGTAATGCACTGATTACCTTGGGGTCCAATCATGTAAAGATTTACAGCTGAGGATTGTACCGACCACTGTGAGGAATCCCACTGACTGTGATTTTGTAAGAACTCTCTGTGCAAGAGAGAAGTAAAATTTGGCATTGTGGAGCAAACACTCCAGATGATCTCTAATGTAGTCTCCAAAAGCTGACAGAAGCTGCAAAAATGGCGTTGGCAAGTTTCTAAACTTCTGTCTAAGAGAGATTTTTTTCTCTGTTTTGATAGAAATTACATGCCTTAGTTTTGTCTCTTTCAAGGCAGTGATGGATAAATTTCTGAAATACGAAAAAGCTGGGGGAAGCCTGAAGCTATACAAGTTTTCTTTTTTCCTTCTTCAGCGTGTTGTAAAAACAGTATAAATGTTTGAGATAATAAAGGAAGGTATGCCAAGGAAAAATCTCTTGTTCTCTAACTGTGTCTGTTTAACATGTAATCATTCTGGTGATGGAGTGTTATGACTATGAAGGTAACATTGATACTTGTCGATAACGCTAATTTTTAGCTTTTGTTATTTTTTTCAAAGGGCTAGACATGAAGAAACTCAGCTTTGGCATGAAAATGAACGTAAACTTTTGAGGTCCACCTACCAGGAGAGGATGCAGGTTTCGGCCACCAAACGAAACCAACTTTTTCAAGAAAAGAAATGGTTACAGGTAACACTGCAGAATTGTGTATTAGAACCAGTGCTGTGTGGGGAAAAGCTTGTAAGCTGTCACACAGAATTAAATAAATTTATAGTAATAGTGACTTTGCTTCTGTGCAGCAATTAGAGCCTTGGCTGTAGTCCAGTTGATAATCTTAAGTGATGATTGGAGATGGCAGCCACAGGAATTGTGTTAATCTCATTACAGAGAAGCAGAACTGGAAGGCTCGGTGCCTTGTGTGTGTGCTCTGACTTTCCTCATTACCTTTTTAAGTGTTCTCTTTATGTTCTAATTTGACATTTTAATATTTCACTTATCTTCAGAAGTTTTTATTTGAAGACAAAAAGTTTTGAAGGAAGCAATCTTTCATCCATTTCTGATTAGAATTGACTATAAATACATGATTTACCAGCTTTTGTTCCTGAAAGATGATTGATGCATTTCACAAGGATGAAGGAATTGTCACAGAGCAGTCTGCATTTGCCAACAATAACTACACTGACACGTGATGTCACAATGTGGTAATTTGGCAAATGGAATGTTTTCATGATGGCTTCTGTCCAAGTTTAAATCTGCAAGCCTTTTAAGCAAAATCTAGCTCTTTCTTTTTACTGTCCTTCAAAAATCTCAGTTTACTATCTAGTGCAAGTCTTTGTTCCATCTCCTTTTAAACCTTGACAGTGACACTCGGGAATGTGACATCTTAGAAAGCTAGAAGATCTAGTTTTCTTTTTTTCTATGGTCTTGTCTTGAAATCTCATTATTTTTGATACTTTTATTCCTTGGGTGAATCCTATAGTATAATAATCTGGGTGTCTGTATACACCTAAATATATGTGTATATATATGTATAAACCAGAAAGAAAATGAGAAAAGCGTCTTACAGGGCCATTGCAAAACATTACTTAAATGAAGAAATGTCTTTTCTATCCTAGTCATTCACCTTTTTGTATTGTTTGGATTTATTTCATCCACATATAAGAGGAGACATAGTGTAGTTCAACATTATCAGTGTCCAGAAAACTATTTTTGATAATCTAGACAATCCAGACAGTCACCTCAAGCTATTCATCTCAAAACTGCTGTACTTAGGGCTCTGTGTCAGCTAAGGGAAAAGTTAGCCACATTGTCATACAGGTTTACTATTTATGACAATTTAATCAAAATTATCATGAATCTGAAGTTCTGGAGAAGGCTGACCTGTGATGTTTGGTGGCTCCCAGCATCCCATAGGGATTGCTCCTGCCCAAAATCTCACATGACCTGAAATTGTTAGTCTTTTTTTTTGTTTTGTTTGCTTTTTGTTTCCTTTTCCTTAGCCCTACTTTACTTTCCTTTTCTTTCTACCCTCTCTCCTATTGGTTCTGCATTTTTCTTCCAGGATTTGAGAGTCTGTGGCAGTATCTAAAATTTACATATTAATGTTTCTGCTGCAATCTGTACTTCATGGAGAACATCAGCCCTTAAGTGAAGCTGAAGGTTTACAATCAGTAGTGATTTGCTGTTGTCTTAGAAATCTCAGTTTAAACTCAAATCAACAAAGTAAAACTCCAGCGTATGTTTAGTGAGCCAAATATCATCTTGTGCTGAGACTTTCAGTCCTTTTTATCTGTCCCTGGAGGCTGACCAAGAGCACATTAAAGGCGACTTGGCATTTCTGGAAAAGAACGTGCGAGAATTCCAGTTTACTGACTCTAAAGTTTCCATTCTCCCAAGAATGCCTGTGAACTATTCCCAAGCAGAACAGCTTTCTCTCTGTGAATGCAGATTGTGTGCTTCTGGTATCTATTTATGTTGTAAAAACATTTCAGTGTTTGTAAAACCAAATTCTGTTCATCTCCCTTTCTGTTCCCATGTAGGTTGCTTATTGCGGTGATTGCAATTACTACGTTTTCAAAGAATATGAAGGTCTTTGTATTAAGTAGAGCGTATTAAGATTTTGGCAGTATTCCCAAACCAGTAACACAGAGACAGAATTGTCCTTTGTGCACACTAAAAGCCTGATTTGAGACTGAAAGAAATGAAACCGATGTTTTTGGCCTGCTGACCTTTTTGTCCTTGACAAATGCATGTGGGTTGAGACATGGGCTGCTCTGTTCTCTTGTCGCTAAATCTAAAACCAAAAAGGGAGGAAAATAATTGATTAATCTAGTGTGTGGCACTAATGTAAGTTGAAATTTTTGAGCCAGTCAACCTTTCAACATGCAAGGACTGTTTCTTGTTTTAAGTGATACTCAGGGAGCTTGTTGCAGTGCAGCAAACCAGAAAACATGTCTATTGATGAAACAAGCACTAGTGAACTAAACTTCACTTAAATTGCATTGAAAACATTAAAAGAATGTTAAGCTTTCAAAGTGAAGCACTCAGAAAGCAAAGAAATGCCGAAGTCAGTTATCTGTGCATAGTATGTATGTTTTATAAGAGTCTTTAATTATATGAGCATGCCTTTTTTTCCCAGATTCCTGGGATTGCTGAAGATGGAAAGTGCTTGTTCAGATATTCAGAATACCAGTTTATCTTCATTACTCAGTATTTGGCCCCAGAACCCTTTTTATAGTATGCCACTCAAACCCTCTTTTGGATGGTCTCCTTTTCCAACATTAATCAACTTGGCATCTGAGTGTTTCAAAATCACTTGATTTTATCTCCATAACATTGCTTTGGGTAAAGAGGTGTTCTTATTGCTATTCTAGAGATACAGAATGAATACGTGAATTACCAGAAAAAGCCATGTGGTTGTTTCTAATGTCAGTTTTGTAATGCTTAGTTACATACCTGAAAAAGATGTTTTGTTTTGTTTTTGATTTTTCTTTTTTTTGCTGGGTGGAGTATCCTCAGAGCATGGAATTGAGCTTTGGTTTCTGTTGAGAGTCTGTAGATAGCACTTCAGAGGCCCCTCTTGTTGGTTATATGGAAAATGGTGAACCTTCAGTCTGTGACTGTGTGTGGAGATAGCAGTTTAAGTGGCTTGCAGAGTTTCACAGGGACTGTAACAAATGTAGGAAGAGAATCAGATTCTCCAGTATGACATTTTTTTTTACTCACTTTTCAAATTCTGGGACAAATGAGCCAAGGGCCATATATTAAATAACTTTATTATCGCAGCAACCCAGACTCCTTCTTGAAGTGCTCCTTCCTTGTTGCAAAGTATTTGTTGGGTTTTCAAGGAAAAATTGCGTTGTGCTGTTGCAAGAAACATCAGTATCATAGTGTACGAGATTTGAATTTCTGTCAAGAAAAGTGCAACTGAGGTTGAAGCTGTGGTCATTTTAAGTCAACGGAGGGATTTTTTGCTTTTATTAAAATTAAATATTAATAATCAAAAGGACTGGCTACACAGTTTGTGATTCACCACTTACATCCTGTGCCTGATGTTGAATTGGAAGCCTAGAGGAACCATTGCAGGGATATTCTGCAGGAGGACAGGTAGATGGTTGATCACTTTAGCTGCCAATCTGTAGCAAGATTCTGTTGTCATGGTTGAACTAAGATTTTGGGGTTTTTTTGAGAAGGTTTTAACTTGGGAAATACCCATGTATTTTAAAGGTAAAAGGTGACTGATTGTGTTGGAAGAGGAACCTGAAATTTGCTGTTGACATGGAGGTGGGGAGTTTTGGACTGTGGAAGTACTGGAGTTTCTAAATACCAGAGATTTAAGAATTATTGTGTGTCAACAAAAGAATGTCTTCTCACTTATTGTTGTGCTAAATTGGACAACCTTAATTCATGCTACTTCTGAGACTTACATTGCATTTTTCTAGGGGCAGAAGGGTTTCTTTAACAGAGTTCATAGTAAACTCAGGTTTCTGTTCTATGCAGAAAGAAATTGAAGACCTCCGAGCAAGACTGGCCATATTAGAAGCGAAAGATCAACAGCTAAGAAGAGAAATTGAAGAACAAGATAGGCTTATTCGGTCACAGGACTGTGAACTCACTGCTTTACTTGGCTGCATTTCTTTGAGAGAGCTACAGGAAATAAGCAAGGCTGTGGATGACACTTTAGCATCTTCCTATCAAATTCCATTCATTCTAGATCTTCCTGGGACAATAAAGAGGTATTTAAATTTCAGTATGCTGGCAGTGATGTGGAGTCTTGTATCTTCCCAATGTACTGTTGAATTGTCTGTCAGTTGTTTTCTTCGTCATTGTGCCAACTAATTAGCTGGATTCTGACGCTAAAATTTGCTAAGAACAGATGCTGAAGTACTAATATTAATATACTTCAGGGAGGAAGGCTGTAGTTATTTGAAGGTCTTGCACTTAATGTTTTTTTATGGTAAAGAGCCACCTACAGAAAGCATATGTATCAATCAACTGTCAATACCCATCATCAGTTTAAACTATTTCTTGTTAAATGGTGGAATTTTTGCCCCAGCTTAGTAATGCAGTAATTACAACATATTTCTCACAGCCTGAAAATGTGTACTAGGTACCATACAAATAAGTATTAAAGATGCTTCTTGCTTCAGTGAACTACCAATCATAATAAAGTCCAATGTGATGAGTTTTAGGCTCAGACAGTGGACTCGAGGTAGTGGGGGAAGGGATATTACAGCATGAAGACTTTGGGACACCTACAGTTAAGTGCACAGTGCATGGTTCCTTTAAATGGAAAAGTAGCTACTCTTGGTAACCTTTTCGAAATAGCCTCATCTTTATTTATAAAAGCAATAGAAGTGCTTCAGGGCCTAAACAGTACTGGCAATCAGTGGGATGTTGTTAATGGAACTTTGAAAGCGTTACCACTGCTGTGTCACCAGGACAAAATAAAATTCCTGTTTATCCTAACTTGCGTTTCTTACAGATAAGCAATAACTATGTTGCTTGCAATTTTTTTCCTCCTGTCATGTTTATTTGATTTAGTTTGGTTATATTAACATTCATGAGAAATTACTGCTCATGTGTGCTAAATTTTTTTTAAGTCAGCAGAACATTTTGTAGAGGACATACTCCTCTCTTTGGGCTTTATTTAAAATTGCTAATGGCAATGATGTAGATGCCCACCTGTGGCATGATCATGTGGAAGCTGGAGTCCTTGGTTCAGAATGTGGAAGCTCTGCATTTAGGTCCTCTGCAGGATGTCTGGATTGGAACCTACAGCCTCAAAGCAAGCTCTTATCTGCCAAGGATTTCTGTGTCCTGGCAGGTAGTGTGTTCCATCCCAGTCTGTATGCTGGCCCTTAATATATCTGGGAATGCAAAAGCAGAAATCTAGCACAAGGCCAGAAAGCTAACAGGCAAGAGGAGTTCTGACTCTGGGAGAGTGAAAGAGGAAAGGATTAATGGTTAGAGCACTCAGCTAAGATGAGAGAGGGACCTGGTCATCACAGTTGTTGAGGGAGTTGGCAACTCTCCATTGATGAAGTGCTAGATTTTTTTTCCCCCAACTTAAAAGCAAAGTGAGCTAGAGGAACAAGGAACAACCTGACTGATGCAGCCTTTCAGAAAAGCAAGGTACCACTCACTGCCTATTCAGCAGCTATTCTACTCTCTGTAGGAGATGGTGGCGCTGAATTAAAAACACGTTATATGTGTTTTCTCTACATGATTGTGGCTTCCTGGTCTGGTAAATCCCATTCAAAATCTACCCAAGTGTTGTATATGCTGTGCCTGCTGCTCTATTGAAAAATGAAAAGCTGCCTTGGGAGCACAGACTGAAATCTCCAGACCATCAGTGTGACTCAACCACTTGACTTTATCATGTGGCCCCTTCATTGCCTTTGGTTCTCAAATCTCTTCCCCAAACCACTTGCTATTTTAGGTGGCTGAAAGCATCCCAGAGCTGCGCTTGTGTGGTGGTCAGCAGGCACGTTTCCAGCATGGGTTGTCTGCCACTTCTTGCTTTCAGGGCAGGCCATATATCCCCTCAGAAGGGCTGAGGGGAAGAATATTCTCCTTCAATGGTTGTGGTTAATTAATAATGAGAGTTAGGCTCACTATTAAACTGAACAGAGTGGTGGTTGTCTTCCTTTAAAGCTTTACAGTCCATCATATCTCGATTACAGTGATCTTATGTCTGCATCCAGTCATGCTCAGTTCTCTCTTTCTGTAAGATGAAAAATTAACAAGCAGATAGTAAGACATCTGGTGTGGATATACTTCCTGTATGCTTGTGGGCATCCCCTGCATTGTCATACAATTATAGATTAATTTAGGAGGTCATCTTGTCAAACCCCTGCTCAAAGCAGGGCCACAATTTCCGAGAGATCAGGTCACTTAGGGCCCCATCTGTCTGAGTTTTGCGTCTCTCTAAGGACGGAGATTTTGCAGCCTTGCTAGGCAGCCTGCATTTCACCACCCTTGCTGTCATCTTTTTCGTCTAATATCTAGCCAGAATTTCCCTCGTTGCAACTTGCATTGGCTTATCCTCAATTAGTGCTTGTCGTGAAAGGCAATTGTATATTAGGCAACAGGTTAAAATACTTGACAAAGCCAGTTCAGCATATTAGTTTTAAATTCCAAAGTCTTGGGATATTTAATGTGAAAGAGATTTTTCTGGAAATGTATACTTTATTTTATGAATCACTGAAGAGGAAAAAAAAATTAAAGTCTTATAAAGCTAGGACTACCTGTGTGAGAAATAAAACTATTACTCATGCATATATACTGAAGATCTTTATGTAGAAAGTCCTTCAGTGTTTATGGACTGTAAATGACAAGTTCCTGGGTACTGGGCTGTGAGATACTATGTATTTGTTCTAACTGCATTATGCTAGTCAGTAAAGTTCTGCTATGCTGTGCTTTTGCATAATTATTTGTTGGGTACATGAATTGAATTCAACACTGGAATAACACAGGGCTGATGTGGAGCATCTCTTAAGACAATCTGTGCTATAATGAATCATATTGAGTGTCTTGCAGCTCACTATAAAATACAAATTATTTTGCTTTTTTTGATTTAAACGCTATTAAATAGCAACTTATTAAAACAAACTTCAGGGAATGTGAGAGAACATCTTAAATGAAGAATAATTACCCAGGTAGAAGCAGGCAGAAGCGAGAGAGCAAGTCAGTGTAAGGTTGGGCTGAGCATTGTTTCTAAGCTTATTTTTCTTGTCAAACATTATTATTTTCAGGAAGATTAATAATCCTTTGTTTTGTCTTGTTTATCTTTGGTATGCGGTGGACTTTTAGAAAACAAAAAGCTTTTGTCAGTAACTGTAGCATGCTTTGAGCTTGAAGAATTGATAAATGTTAGACACGTTACCCTGGGCCCCTTCTTGAGGGCTGTTGGAAGCAGAGGTTAAAACCTGGACGGTTAAGGTGCAAACAAATATGTTAGTTTGTGTCTTGACAGGGATTCTCATTGAGATTGAGACCACAAAATGTGGTCATTTTGCTGAGCCAGGCCTAATTGCTTTTGGTAAACTGAAGGATGTAATTATTATTATAAAACAAGGAAATTGCAGTTCAAAAATCCTGCTTGCATGGGGTTGCATAGAGTTGTGTTTAAAAGGTGGGAGCAGCTGGTGGTGCGTGCACCACGATGCATGCCTGTGTTTTAACTAAAGATGACATTGAAATTGGAGGAAAATAGGTCCGAGTGTTTCAGCATGAAGGACTTTTTCCTGGAGACTGCAAAGGGTAACAAAATATGTAATTTCTTTGTCCTCTACTGAAGAGGACACCATTTCAGAAATACATGTTTTTAACTAGTGTAACCTGAATCTTCTAATTATAAAATAAGACCATGTTAATTGTTTGGCTTAGTCTCTTCAGTACTTGTCGTTTCCTTTTTTTGTTTCTTTTCATTTCACAATGAAAACTGGGGAAGTCTGTTATACTTCTGTTCATATTTAGTTTCATTTAGCATTTTCCCTTTTGTTTTTATCCATATCTACAGGTGCATATGACTGTACAGCATGTTATCCTTAAAATAAATTGCACAGTTCCATCTGGACTGTTGTCTGGGTGCTGAGTGATGGTTGAAAGGAAGAAATTAAATTAAATATCTTTCAAAATATTTGAATACTCTTCTTCCACTCTTCTCATGGAACAATTTTTAATTAGTAGGAATTTGTTCCACAGTGGATGTGTGGGATCTTCTGAAGATAGGGAAATTCTCTATTCTGTATATTAGTGATTATAGTACTGTCATGGCCAGTGGCGCAAGGAACTGAACTTGAAGTTTTATGCAACCAGCTCACTCTGCTTTAGTGATGCCTGGAGCTCATCTGACAAAGATTAATTCAAAGTGAAATACAAATGCTCAGGGGGTTGAAAACCTTATTAGTTGGAATATACTCAAAGCATTCAGCAACTTCAATTGAGGCCAAAGCCTGATAAAGCCAAAAAAGGTGAGGTTTTTTTAAAGATGTTGATTTACTTGGGAGAAGTTGGAAAAAAAAAACTTATACATAGTTTCACATATTAACTTAGGAAAATGCCATTCAGAATGGGCTGTTGTGTGCTGTCATTGGGAGACACCTTTTGTAGTTCTTCAAAGTATATGAATTTTCTAGTCAAATTAGTGGTTAGCAAGCAACATGAAATTACTGAAGTCTGAATGCAGCCATGTTTATTCACATCAGCCTTTTAACAAAAATCTTAGCTTTAAGGAATTGTATTTAGAAGACACAAAACAAATTGCACCCTCTCCTTTCAAAAAGATATCTGTTGTTTGCTAGACAACATGTAGTCTATCCAGGAAAGTCCTTTTTAAATATGTGGTTTGAGGTTTTCTTTGACTATGTAAAGAATATCCTCTGGGAATAGAAGTGTAGTGCAAATACAAAGAGCAGAGGGATGAAATGGTTTTGTAGCATCAAAACGTTTCTGCTACAGTGCACAGGCAGCTAATGCTCCTGACTGTTTGCTGGGCCTGTGTGTGGGACAGCAGAGAACTGGACTGTACTTTTAATGCCAGATACTCTCTGCCAGTCTTTACTTCTGGGTTTTCTTCTTGGTTTTTTTGGGTTGCTTGGAACTTTGTTGTTGTTTGCATTTTTTCCTGATGTCACAGCCTTAATTACAAGTTGAAAGTGATGTTGGTAGGTAGGTTAGAGGCACAATAATCTAAACTTTTTTTTATGATTTTCCTGAATATTCTCAGGAA